GACCGCGTACCACGTGTCGTGAATCGCCGAAGCATCTCGAGCAGAAACGAGCAGAAACCACGAGTGGATTAATTGAATTTCGAGTACTAATGAATTCTCGCGACCCGATTAATTTTTCGCCGATGTTGATGCACTGTCTCGCGTCGTCGTTATCGTTTCGTATGGACGTCACCGCCGCGATTTCATCGAGCTTATTATGCTCGGAAATTTGAAGAGGAATCGTTGATGGAATTTTGATACTACGCCACTACGCCGGCGGATCGTCCCTTTTGCCGCATCGACGTAATCTTCTTCCAAAGTTATTTTCCTTTTAAAAAGACTCATCTGCCCCGTAATTTTCATCGTCTTTATTAGCGAGCCTTTTCAAACGAGCGCGAACGGAATCCGCGGCAAAGGGAAACGAAAAGCGGGACTCGCTAGCAGAAGCCGTGCGCCAGCTTTCATCGGTTTTAATTTAACGCCTACATGAAATTCAAACGAAAACTCCAATTTAAATGTATAGGTATATGCCATTTTACTCACAACTCTAAGCGGGATTTCGAGTTCTATTAAGACGTCCATAGCGTCGTTCAAAGGCCGCCGCCGCTTTCTCCGTTGATTCTTATTGTTTCCTCTCGAGGACGTGCTTTTTTTCTTTCGCTTTTGTTCCGTTCCATTAGACCTGTTCGCCCGAAGTTGCGTGTTTGCCCTGGAAAAACGCGAAGACAAACAGCGAGACGACAGGGGGCGCGTTATAAACCGTTGCTCCAACGTAATGCAAACTAACAGCGTCGTATTAGATGTGACAACGTTCGCTCACTCTTCCTCTTTTTTTTTCCTTGCAACTCATGAAAAATATGGGCCAAGTAAAACGCCGAAAATGCACGCTTTACGCGTCTCGCGAATCTGTCCATCCATTATTTTAACTTTTTAGTCGGTTCCTTTAGTTCCTCCGTACTTTTGTCTCGTTTCGTACAATGCAGCAGCTGGATAAATCGGACGCATCAACCCTTCGTTTTTCTCACTTCGAATATGTAAATTACAACGCGGTCTCTTTATCCATCGACGCGATCCATCCTCGGGATTAAGTTCGGTATGACGATATCAAAGATGAAAGATATCTCGCTAAGAATCTCCATCGATTAAACGCATCGATCCGTTTAGCAGATCGAACACGGTCGACTGTCGCGTATGTCGCTGCTAGCACGATAGCGTATAGAAAATGTCGGCGTTGAAGTCGGTCGATGTCGTAGTGTGGTCTACATTTTCATACAAAAGCTCGGCTCTTTCCGTTAAAATAACGAGCATCTAAAAAGGAAGAATTCGTATTCGGAGAGATTCGGTGGCGAGCGGGCGGTACCAGATATGCGTCGCGTTGGTCCACTTTGTGCGACAGCTTTTGTGCGTATGCAGGTTGAGATTCGAGAGACGCGGTTGTCAGTTGCCGTATATGGGCCAGGGTTATACGGAAACGACTCGACGAAGAAAAAAGCCAGCACGAGAGGCCGACAGCGCCAAGCAGTGGATATCAGAGGCTGTTTTTCGCTCTTTCTTCGCGTCCTTTCTTCCTTCCTTCCGGTTTAGCAGCTCCTGCCAGACAGGTCGGGACGACCTGATCGTTTCGCCTGAATAATCCGTTTTTTACTCAACTTATCTGTCGCGAATTGCGTTATCGCAACGCGTCAGTTTTTCGGCCTCTGTCGAATTACCCTGGCGATCTCTGCTGTCGAATTTCCCTTCAACGATGGATCGACCGTTGTACCATCCGACATTCGATATTTTGATAGAAATACGCGTTTCAAGTATTTCATCTATGTATGCCATATAATAGCAGGGAAGAGCGTGCACGCACCATGCGCTTATTTTATGCGACGAAACCTCGTTGGACTCGCTTACCTGTCACTTAGGCGTTGAACGGCTTGGCCGCGAAAGAAATTCATTTGGTCGGGGGAAATTTCCTCGTTCGCTTGTCACGTACGTTTTAAAACGTTCCGATGAGAAATCGGCTGAAAGATGCGACAGAGTCTCGCCGTGGAATAAATCAAAGAGAAAAGAAAGCACTTGGTTTTCGGCGTCTTTCGATATCGGAATATCGGAGTCTTCGTGGCAAATGTCCTCGTCTGGAATCACAGGTTGTACAGGTAGAGGCGGGAATTGAATGGATCGAGGGTACGAGATGAAGTGTCTCGAGCAGCGAGATTTACGAGCATCCTCCCCGAGCTGGGTGAACGCGAAAGCTTTGCATTTGCCGTGTATTTTGGTGAAGTGCCGCGAGGCTGACTGCGAAAGGGATTGGAAAGGGTGGTGGAGGCTGCAGCGATGGGACCCAGCTGCGATAAACTGGATGCTCGATTCGCGACACCGACTATCGTCGGTTGTACGCGCTGGAATTTTGCGGTACGACTTCAAACTGGGCCATCGACCCTGCGAGCCACTCTCGACCTCTCTTCTCTCCACTCTCGATCGTCGATCCAGACGATCCTGTTCGCTTTTTAGTAGGTCGTACGCGTCTTTCCTCCTCTCTTGCCCTTTAACGCTGCCTCTTACCGACGACGATTTCGAGCCGGGTTATAGCGAGTTTATCGGAATCACGGTCGCGAGGGAAAATTTATTCCGCGAAAAGACGAGTCACTGGAAATCCATAAATCGAGGATTACCAAGATACGAGCTGTGATTTATTATGAACAACCGAAAGGAATACGTAGAGTTGCAGCCGGTGCCACGGGGAAGGAAGATTCGCGCGGCGGTCCAATTCAGCAAATTCGAAACGACATCCTTTATCTCGCGTGGAAACGCACGCACGACCTAATAACTAACGCTTACCGAAAGAGTCGCTATCAAAATTTCGTATTTATGGGACTCGCGTCTCTCGTACGAAGCAACTCATTTTCCATGGTCGTACGAATAATAGAATACGAACGTGTATCTGTGTTCTGTTTGTGCCCTAGTTGGTTGCATGCAAGTAGACAATGCTCGCTGTACGCTCATTTGTCCATTGTCCATTCTTTCCATCGGACGTTTCTTTTTTCTCTCGGCCCATGTTCCTCCGGGGACGACCTGATTCCTCGATAAAGCCAATAAACCCTCGTCAACCGATGGCAGTGCGGTGTTGGTTGAGACTCGTCCATAGACCACAGTGTTTCCCTTTAGCCTCTCCGCTCTCTTTCCGCGCTGCTCGCCTTTTTCTTGGCTTTCTCGTCCTTCGAATTTATTTAACGAGCGGCTAATCAACGTCAAAGCGCACCGACAAAAAGGCCATTGTCACCCGTTGAGCAGTGCTTTTTTTCGCGCGACGCGGCACGGTGTGACACGCGGCGTAGTTGTCCGACGAAGTTGAACCTTCGTTTGCAGGTTTCCGCGACGCGTAGAAAAGAAAGAACGAGGGAGAGCGAAGAGGAAACGACGGGAAGTTGGCCACGTCGCTGGAATAATAGCGACGCGTATAGGTTCGCAGAAGCAAGTAGTCCCGCCTTGCATTTCCACTCGTTTCGTTGAAATTAACGAGTCGAGTGTTTGCCAGAATCGGGGGAAATGTTGCCTCGGCGAGTGTTTGCTTTGATATTGGCCAACTTTTTCCACCTATCTCCTTCTCTCTCTCCCTTTTTCTTTCTCCCTCGCTTTTTCTGGCTGTGATTTTTAACACGAACAGAAGTAACTCGACCGGCAGAAAGAACTGGCAGAACGCGCGCCAAAAAACGTGTTCCTTCGCGATTAATCGACCGGCTAATTCCGCGGAACTATCACCGATCATCGGGAGTGGAACTTTTTTAATTAAACCTATGCGCGATCGATCGACTGGATCCAGGGCGCGAGAATACGGGGGCCACTTGGGAAATTTAATTTTCGAAAGAACCGATAAAATCGCACCAACAACGAGTCGTAGGAAAATTCGGCCGAAGCCGGCTACGAATTCTGTCAGAGGGGCGTAAAACGCGCCGGATGAACGTGAAAATGCAGGCTTCCACCTGAAAGAAATTTTTTATGAAAAACGATTCAACCGTGTTGCCTTCATTTTTTCTCCACCCCAAGGGAAGTTCTCATTCGAGCGTTCTTTTGCCCTCTCGCTTTTCGATCGACGCGTTCGAATCAACCCTGAAAGAAAGGCATCCACCGCCGTCTGGTATTTCGGAGGGAGCAGATAGGGGCGGAAAAACGTCGGGGATGTGCGGTCTAAGCAGTAAATAACCGAAATTGCAGACGCGGATGACCGTTCTAATTCCTGCGACGGGCAAACAGTTTGATTAGCGAAAGTCCGCCGCCTCCTGAGAGACAGCTTCCCTTTTTCCGGTAACGAGAGAGCACGGGGAGCAGAAGGTGGATAAATAAAGAAAAAGGAAACGATGGACATGGCAGAGCTGGAGAGAATAGAATATAAGAGAAACGAGAATAAGGTGTTTTCTTTAATGGATGGGGAAAAGAAAAGATGGAAGTTGAGGGCGACGGAAAAAGAAGGAAAAGGTTCAATTGCAATTGGAGTGCGAATGGTACGGAAAAAGAGGAAACGCGAGTGGTCGAAAGGTCAGTAGACTCGACGTGTCTGGCGAGCTGCACGAAATCGGTAACAAACATGCCGCGAAATCTCCTCCGACCTCTTCGCAATCTCATCCGCTGCACCGTCCTGGCGGCCGTAGGTGTTCGGAGAAAAGAGGATAACAAGAAGTGAAACTCAATTTCGGCTGGCTTGTATTTCCGTCTTGCGGACGAAGCAGGGAAGAAGGGGACACGGGAAAAACGTTTCGCAGTCGTTTGTTTCAATATTTTGGAGCGGCAGTGTGTTGCCGATAGGCGAGGAACCTCGTGGATGTTGAAACGTGACTCGTTTACCCGCGATTACCTCTTACGGGTCGATAGATCTGATAATCCGACGGATCGTGGATAACGATGGTAGGCTGGTCTCGTTGTTCGTTAACGAAATATTAAATAGGGAAAGAGCGAGGGTGGATGGGGGCACGACGCGTTGTTTGTTCGGAACGCGACAACGGTCAATTATGCAGAAGCAATACCGATCGATGCTCGCTCACCTGCATGCTGGTTCACCGACGGTCTCGAAAAACAGGCAGGTACCACCGTTCATGCAGAAGTCTCCAGCTATCGGACACGGCTGCTCCTGCCTCGGCCAGGCCGCTGTCGCTGCAACAAAATCAGAGAAAATATATTCGTCAGCATTGGGAACGGAATGCGCATAAATCCCGCGAGCTCTTCCGGCGACCCTAAAACCGATCCTCGTCGATACGACGCTTCGCCGTTCTATTCTCGCCATTTTTCCTTCCTTCTTTTCCTTCTTTCTTTATCCCGTTTCTTTTCATCGTCGACTTTCACACGATCGCGAGCTTTGGCCTCGTTTACTCGCGCGATTAAGTCGGCTACTGCTAAAGCTTTGTCCGCCGCGCGAGAAAATGATATTCGCGCTCGCGAGGCGTGGATCGTGAATTCCGGGCGAAACCGTGCATTTTCATTTCAATCGGTCTGCATGCGGATTAGTCTTTAGTATGCAAATGGGACGGCTGCTAAGGAGGAAAGCCGAGGATGCGAGAAACGACTGGATTTATGAAGAGCTTAAAACATTCTCCCCTTTTTCCCTCGTCGTTTCCCGTTCCGTTCACCCCTTTGCCGATAATCATAGAAATCGAACGACGCGCGACACCAAAGAATCGCTGCCTCACGAGCAACAGAGTGTCGAATGCTTGGCCGATTTCTCGCTGGTGAATCCGTCCGGACCGTAACCTATAAATTTCTCAGAGAGTCGCGTAATGCCGCGGCAGACCGTAATTCCTCACTGTCGTTTGTCGTTGTTCAAACCGTAATGCATAATGAATCTAGCCGCTATCTTGCGCCTCGTCGTGAATACCGATTAATCATTGCTTTGCATGCATCTGTTACGGAAATACGTCCTAATGACGTGATACAATCTTCCATACTTTCGGTGTATCGGATCGTTGCTGGTGTAGACAACGTGTTGAAAATCGATGATTCCTTGACCTCTACGTCGTCGGCGAGTTGTTCGAGAGCACAGAGTATCATCGAACAGCGTCGGTTCTTTCGTAAGTTCAGAACGTTGGGATTTTGGTTTCGCGAGAGGCGCCGGACACGGTGATGAATCCCGAAAGAGCAGTTTCAGAGCAACATTCAGCAAAGAGCCGCGGGAACCATGCACAGAGCAGCCGTGTGCAATGTATTAAAAATCGTATAATGAGTTTGAAAGCGTGCAGAGCGGTCAGAGCGGAGTAATAGCGTCCGAAGCGGCAGAATGCGACGTGGCGCGGTGTGGCGAGACGGAGAGCGCGTTCGCGCTCGCGCGATGAGCTTGCAAGCGCGTACACCATTATTACACTCGGATTAGTACTCGACCATTCGGACCGGTATTACCGAGCGCAGCTTCAACTTCGGAAAGCTCTCGAGTAGCTTGTACGGTCGGCTTTATCCTCTCTCGCTTTTTCACCCACTACCCGTCGCCGTTTTAACCTCATCCAACGCATTTCTTCTCGTTAAATTCCTAACAAGCTGAAGACATTTCGCGGTCAAAGTAGCCCAGTTTTTTGCGCTATCGAGAGGAGGCGATTAGAGCGAGGCATAAAAGGCAGATCGCGTTGAAATTTTAATCTTCTACCGGTGTTGCTCGTTTCAAAGTTTCCGGCTTCCCTTTGCTAGAGATCGGATACAAATTGCAGTTGCGAATCGCGTTATTTTGCGGAAGCGACGAGATACTCGAATTGCACCGGATTTCCCTTGATCCCGGTTTTGTCCTTTTTATTTAGTTGGAAGAATATTCATAGCGAAAAGGTGCAGGGAGAGGTGGAGAATTACCTATGCTGCCGGGATCCGGAGTTAATTGAAGACCGGCTTCGTCGTTTTCCTTGTTTTTCGATGGCAGCGTCGAATCGCGAAAGTTTGATCTCACTGCCGGTGGCGCGAGCTTCTTCCTCGCCGGCGCGCAAAACATTCTGTAGCAATCTTGTGGAATGCGAAAGTTCGTCGCGCGAAACAGGGTTAACAACGGCGGGAACGAAAGAGGAGAAAAGTTTAGATGAGGCGAGAATCGAGTTTGAATCGCGGCTATATCGATTTGGTTCGACAGCAGCCGCGTTTCAATTCGTTTCTCCGTTTTGGCTTGTGCGATGCGACTTTGCGCGCGTTTACGGGATTCGACGAAAACGCTAAAACTTTTTCGGGCGAAAAATAGGAGAGCTTATCAGCCAGGACGTCGCGGTCGCCGTGAACACGACAAACGAGAGGTTCTTCGATTTACCGACCGGTTTGTATCTCGAAATTTCGCGGCGCTCGTCCTTCCACTGCAATATCGTCGGTGCCTCGCCATGCAAAATCTACTCTTGCATGGCTCAATCGTGCGACGAGAATTTTCCAAAACGATTGCCGGTACTCGTGTGCGACCAAACGATCCCACGATGGACGGCATCCATTTACCCGGGCGTCGATCTTCGACCGCGAGCTGCGAGAAAACCTCAATCTCTGGAAATTCCAACAAATTTCTCTGCCTTGCTCTACCTCTCAAATAACTTGCAGCTTTTCGGTGAATAGGTGCGCCGTCTGGTTACGGTACCGACGTCTGTCGATTTTTTCCCCTGATGAATCGAAGCTGTAGCGAGGGCAGAATCATTAAAATAAGTGCCCCGAAGTATGCGAACGTGCTGCTTAACTTCTCCCTATAAAGTCGAGAATTTCATTTGGAAATAGCGTGGCTGGTAACTAGATCGAGCAAGTTGTTAAGGTACAATGAAACTCAATGGGAAGATTTCCAGCTTATCTACTTGCGTATGTGCGACATAATCAGCATCGCTGTATTATCGTTCAAGCTTTTTACCACCATGGACCACCCCAGAAATTTACTGGTATTTCTAAATTAATTTCCACGATATTTCCTCTTTTTGGCCTTTAAACACCTCGTAAATTAACGTTTACGCGAGAGATGTTTTTCGATCAGGAGGTAACCAGTGCGTAGTAGTGGAGGCAAGCTTGTCGCGCGTTTATTTCACGAATTTTCCAGGTGAATAGAATTATCTCTCATTAAGAGAGCCGCTATAGTTAGCGAAGCGCTCTCGATAACAAACAGTTTTACCGTTGGCTGTTCCTGACGCGTGTAACATTGTTTGAATACCATTATCCCTGTCGATGTAACATCAATCGGTGTCGCGGATGCGTTTAGATAGCCTCGACCAGCTGTTTCGCGTCACGCGCGAGTCTCTATGTTGATACGTCACTCTTCGACGTGTTTACGGTCGAGTGTTGAAATTTTTGACATCGATACAGGGCTTTTTTCGATCTGGCGTTTCAACCGGCCTTTGTCCGCGTTTTGATCGTACCTGTCGCGACAATTCCCGTGTCACAACTTTTTTCCCCCGTTTAATACAACGATGCTCGCGGGCTGTGTAACTTTTTGCTACGACAACCAGCCACGCTTGCTCTCTCTCGTGTTCTCGTTGCTTGAACGATGAACGCGTTTAGCGGCAGGAGAATTAGTTTTGAAAATCTATTCTAGTTATCTGCGCTAACTGGCTGCACATGCGCGCGCTAATTAAGGCTAACACGCTGGATTCTTCTGCCCCATCCTCTGTGCTCGTATTTCAAGTATGAAATACGAGTTGTTCGTTCTTCGAGCGTGCGCCGAAAATTGCGGCGAAAACTCGAGCAGGCTCGCACGGAAGCCGACCAAATGATGAAACTTTTAATCTGCTCTGGTCGCGGTGCTGTCGGAACCGCGAGACACCCGGCAAAAAAAATTCGGGAGACCAAATTATACGACCCGTTCTCGTCGAGAAACGTTGTCCCAATTACATCACAAAGTGCGCCGTTAGGCACATTGATGTCTCCCGTTGCACGTTCCGCGAATAAAACGAGTAAAATAATTTTTCCAAAACGGAAAATTACGGTATCTATTCAGGATGACGAAACCTCACTTTTACACACGGATAAAATACGACGAACGAAAGTTACATGATTTTAGGTAGAACAAACTGACGCATCGATGAAAGTTTCTCGAGCGTAGTCCATTTATATCTTTATATTTTTGCAGCGAGTGCGAATAGCATGGAAGAAAAATCTGCTATCTCGTTTGGGTAACGTTTCGATGGACAGGTGTTCGAGCTGCCGGAAGATGAGAGAACGCGCTTTCATCCAACGCTAATTTGCATCGGCAGTGTTCGAAAATAGGTGCGGACCGGAGGCGGTACGTAATTAAGTCGGATATAATTGCCCTAATATATCTGTTCGCGAGGGTTTGCGGCTCGGCTGGTCGCGCACGCGTACGGTTCACACCGTTGAACACGGTCCAGGCTCGGTCCATTTGCGTTTCCAAATATCGTGTTTCAAATTCGAGGCTGCTCCGCTCTATTGGCTCTCGCAACGACTGTTACCGCTTGCGACGAACGAATCGACTCGCGGCCATTCCCATCCCGGGAGAAATCGGTGCCCTCGACTGGTTTTGTTGCTCGTCTTCGAGCAGAACTTTGTCATTTCGTATTTCGCCGACGTACGACTAATACGCTACGGGATCGCGTAAGTGGATTTTAGCTGACGTTTCGCGCGTTCCATACGTCTCTAACGGGGTAAAATGATTCGGGTTACGTGACTACACCGGTGTCCTTTGAGACAGAAGGAAAAAAGTAGCCTTCCAGAGAAGCGAGAGAAAAATCCGGACGAGAACCTTGCGGAATCATCGCGCTCGTCCACGTCTGGAAGAATGAAATTGTGAAGTTTCAAAGGACCCTCTGAGCTTTAAGCACCGTCCATGGATCTCCACGTGATGCTTTACCGAGCGAAATTCTCCTCCCCTCTTTCACCTCCAATTCTCCATCCCTTCTCTCAGGCCGCTCGTGCCCCATCTGCGACCGTCTTTACCCTCTCGCTCCTAGTCCGTACGTTCTTTCCCTTTGTTGGGGTAGATTCCTTCCTGTCGCTAGAAAAAGTAAATTGAATAGATCTAGCAAACCGTGCAAAAGGAAGAGTCCCGCGGAAGCGAAGAAGAAACGAGGGAGGAGAGAGTGAGACCAGATCCTCGCACACGCACCTATTGCTCGTTCCTATTGCTGCGACGTTTTCGAGCCGACTTATGAGATGTCTACGACGTAGCTCCGGGAAACGGAATTTTAACGTCATCGACGATATCTAGGTTTCTG